TTGGGTGCCTCTTGGTATTCGATCGTGAAAAAAAAGAAAATGCTAGGGGTACACCAAAAGTGTACCCCAAACATCCCCCACCCCCTCCATCACCACAAAAAAAGCAAAAAATTTCAAAAAAAAATAAAAATAAAATAAAATGAATGGTAGAAAGGGGAGTGGTGTATATTTGGGGTACACATTTGGTGTACCCCTAGCATATCCCTGTAAAAAAACATTGGGACAATGCCTTTATTTTCTTTTGACGGCTTGGCCGTGTTTTTTAGTGTTCTCAAAAAAAAAATTTAATTATTTCTCCCCACTTCATACAAACACTTATTTATAAAGCCTTCTTTACCAAATCATTTCACAAATCTACACCATCTTCTTTGAAATTTTTAGCTTAATATTTTCATTTCAATATGGCTCCCAAACGCGTTTTTTTCGTGACTATTTACCAATCTCAAAAACCTCCAAAGTGACCAAAAAAACATTGCTATTCATGTACGAGTTGTACGTGTCTACCATGTTAATCCTTTTGGAAGAAACGTGGAGTCAATGAAAGTTGTGTTTCATGATGAAGAGGTATTTGATCTTTTACTAATCCAATGATTCCAATTTTTTTAAGGCTACACTTTTCGTTCATGCACCAAATAAATAATGTGCATGAAAAATTGGGACGGAGGGAGTATTATTTTCCTTGCTCTTTTTCCGCTGTTCCTTGCAAAGTCTAGTGAGAACCCAGCTGATTTATTTACAAAAGTGTTGCCTCCAAAGAAATTTGAAGAACTTGTACACAAAATTGGCATGTGTCGCCTCCGCCAATTATGCTAAACTGAGTGGGAGAATTTTATGCATTGTACTCTTTTTCTCTTGATCGGGTTTTTATCCAACTGGATTTTTTATGACAAGATTTTTAACAAGACAGTACTTAAAATTAGGATGAGTCCTAAAACTATGCTCATTTCACAAAGTATCCATCATTAATTGAAAAATGAACATTCAAGTGGGAGTGTTAAGAAATATATGAATGGTTCATTTATTAATTAATTAAGTCATGTTTCATCATAGTTGTAGAAACAAATTGTTTATCATCACAATTAATTTGTCATTTGTATAGTATGTATACTATTTGTAATGCTGTCCTCATTAAGCTTCTCCATTATAAATAGGTGACTTAAGATCCCTATAAATATATCATTAACAACAAAAGAAAGAGTGAAGAATTATTAAGAGAAGAAATCAGAAATATATCATATTTATCTTCTGACTATTTTTCTTTCATTTTATGACAAAGAGGTATTATTGGCAAAAAAACATTTAAAAAAAGCCTGCGAAATAAACGGAGGGAGAGGAAGTTTTTTTAAACCAGATATTCAAAAAAATGATAAAGAAGAGTTGGGAGAGAGAAAAGGAGAGATTTATAAGGAAGAAGACGAGTCTCCCCTGAGACTGGGGATTATATTATATATACACACACACACACACACATTGCATAAATATAATTTTTGCGCTACGAAAAAATAAAAGGGCGGAGGAGAAGAGGGGTAGGCTCCATATCTTTGGGTGCTTTTCGGTGACGGAATTGTTCTTCTCTCGCGCTCTCCCGTTGCCGATCGTCTCCCTGAATGCCTCACCAGTGTTCAGGGTACTTCCATTCTTTTCCCCCTTTTTTTCCTAAGATTTATGCTTTCTCGTTCTTCGATTCATACATTTTGAACCTTCAATTCCCCTCTTTTGTTCGACGACAAAAATAATCATATTTCTGTAATACATATCTGAATAATAATAATAATATTATTAATGTCTGTTTTGCATAAAATGGTTGATCAATGTGTAATGTGGATTCTGGCGATTTTGATTTTGGAAATGTTAGGGTTCCATCTTTTTTTTTTTCTGAAAAAAATGATTATGCTTTAATAGGAAGTATTTATGTTTAATGTTTGGTTTTTATCTTGTACATGTGATTTGAATAGAATGTTACTTTTTTTCTGGAAACGGAACAATCAACAGCTATAATTCATTGAATATGTTTTGCTTGAAATGAATGATTAAAT